AGAAAAAAGTAGGAGAAAGTCAAAAAGACAAAAAGGTTGAGGCTTTTAGAAATCCTTATTAGAGTTTTTTATTTGGTTGAGTTGTTAGCATTGATACTTGAGGACTAAAAAGACATTTGAAAGAAAAAGCTAATTAATTTGATATTAATCCTACTCTAAATATAGTAACCATTTGAAGTCCCACCTGAGTTTTAGCTTTGCAGTCTGCTTATTTTGACACGGCGTGCATCGTTTTCGTCTCTGACTCCGCTAAAAGCTAGCATTGTGCTTGTGAGCTTCGCACCTTCCCCAGGACCCCACAGCTAACCCACCAGCTCCTGTCTCTCTCTAACGCTTGTGTTTGAACCGTGGCATGCATCTGTGGCAGTGCACTGGCGTGTTTGAGTTGCATTTTGATGTCTTCTCTGTTTGTCTGAAAACTTGTTTCTCGTCTTCCCCTCACCTGCTCCTCCTCCTCCGTCTTCTTTCTCTTTGTCTTCTCTTCACTGTGCAGTATTCACAGATGAGGGACGAGGTTTTCAAATCCAACCTGGTGTGCGCCTTCATTGTGCTCGTCTTCATCACAACCATCCAAAGCCTGCTACCCTCTGCCAGGTAAGAGAGCAGATATTCAATAAAATGATCATTTTAAAATGCACAATCTCTTAATTCTGCATGTGTAGCAGCTTTTGCACCTTCAGTGTAAAATAGGAACTTCCCTGACCCTCTTGGTTGCGTCTAAGACACTGGGGACTGATTTTTATGTGGGTGTAGCACCAAAATCCAATGGATACACTGTTTATGTTCTGAGTTCCTTGCTTCAATACCTCTCTTCTGGTCCCAACATCCCAACGGGACTGGTCCAATGAGACTTGAAATGCTGTCAGGGCAAGCTTGGGCCCACATAAGGTTTCATTCTTTCTGTTCACAAATGTAATAAGTATTTTTTTAGTGCTTTTGGGAGGATGACAAATTTGTTTGAATTATGTTTACACAAATTGTAACTTACAACAAGTTATGTGTTGTTAAAACACACTCCTGATAAATATCCTTGGATGAAAACCATTTTTTTGCTCTGATGTTTGGTTTTCTCCTTCCCATTGAGTGTTTGGGCAGTGGGCTCCCACATGCATTTGCACTGTGACAGAAAGTGTCAGTTTAACCTTTTATGCAGCATATGTAAATTATAGCTAGCTGGCTAACAGTAGCTTCTTTGCTTACTAATCTTATTCTTAGAAAAATGCCGTGTTCCAGTTCCCTCAGAAGACGGATGTGACTCGTTGTGTTCCAGTAGGAAAGTCCTAAAGCCACCAAAAGCAGGATTTGTATCGGTTCTTGGTGAATTTGAGACGTTCATAAATTGCTAGCAGTGCAGCACAATACTTGACTCTGTGTGCTTAAAATCACCACTGCAGCACAGTCATGGACGGAGCGCATATGGATTATTTAGTGAGTCGCAAATGCAATGCAAAACAGTAGATTAGAGATTACAGGTTTTGCTACTGCTCACGCTTACTGTCGCCATCTTGAATTGACTTTCTGAGTTAAAAATCCTAGCTGGGAGGCTGTTCCAGATGGAAATCCTGGGGAACTTGGAAATTCTGACATTAATCTGTACCGCACCAAAATCATATCAGAGAGGAAATGCTAGCTGTCCAGTATGTTCCATGGTGCTTGTTTATGTGTAAAAACATGGATCATGTTGAGGCTGGAGGCTATTCTGAAGGTCATAGGGTGAGAGGCAGGGTACACCCTGGACAGCTCACTGGTCTATCACATAACAAAACCCTGACCTATGTAGCCTTAGTATATGGGTTAGCATTCTCTGCTGCACGCAGCTGTAGATGCTCATGTCATCTGTGAGAGGTTAAGGACTTGGGTTGAGTGGACAGATTTAGGTTGTATTTTAAATG